GTTAATCTTCAGACAACCTCAATTTTAAACTTTGCCTAATTTTAGGCCCACTAAATATTTTAAATTAAAATTGATATCCAATTCCAATTTATAGCCAATAATATTTTTGTCTCACATTTTTATCACGACTCCAGGTTGTCCTAATTTTAGGATGTTCTGATTTTAGGCTGTCCCAAAAATATTCCAATTTAATATTAGGCTGTCTTGATTTTTGACTTCTCGAATTTTATATTGAGCTAATATTAGACTGTCTTGGAAAAGTCTATAAATTTTGAATAGTTAAACTTTAGACAACCTTAATTTTAGATTTTTTCCAAATTTAGGCTCATCAAGCATTTTGAATTAAAATTGAACCTAAAATTTTAGATAATTAATTAGAATATCAAAATTAAGTTATTCTAATTGGAACTTTAACATTCTTATTAGAATCAGCATTATTTTGGAATTCTTTTTTGGAATTCTTTGTTTTGAGGCTTGGGCCTATTTGTGGATTTTTTAGATTTTTTAGATTTTTGACAAATGGACAACTTTTGTTTGATAAAAATCTTAAATGCATTTAATCCAGGGCTGCATTCTGCACAATATATATATATATATATATATATATATATATATATATATATATATATATATGGGTTTAGATGTTAGCTGGCATATTTATTTTAGTGGGTCTTGAAATTAAAAGTAGCATGTGATGTTAGCTAACATCTCCAAATAAATTTATACATTTTTGTTTTTACATTATATAATTATATATATATATATAATTATAATTATAAATTTTAGTTTTTTACTGAACAACAAATACATTAAAACATGCTAAAAACATTTTAAATTTTTATTAAAAATATATCGGACAATAATATCGAGTCAAAAATACATTTTTTTGACTCTACTCATTTACGTAATGGTGCGAAATATAAATATAAATATAGATAAAATTTAATAAATTTGATAAATTAATTACTTAGATAGTAAATGTCGTTTTTGAAATAAAATATAAATGTTGAAATGTGGTGGCACTTGTTATAAAAAAAAATGGTGCATGATATGAGGACAAGTAAAAAAAATTATATATATATATATATATATATATATATATATGTCTAAATTTGCATGTAAATTTTTTACTATTTTTAATTGTCATCATAAAATTTTAAATCCTCAGTGTCACCACATAAAGTTGTAATAATTTTGTAAAAAAAAAATAAACGTGTTGTTGCTAGTAGATCAAATTTTATAAATTTTGTGTTCGAAAATTTTCAAACTTAATCGTATCGCAAGATGTATATATTTAAAATAATTAATTAAATTAATTATAATATTATTAAGTATTGCAATAATAAATAATGTTCTGTAAAATTTTAAAGGCTATTTGTTTATTTTGCTTTTGTGAAGTGATAATTTTTTTTTTTTTTTTTGAATGGCTGATGGCTTTTTTGATGGCCAGGTGGACTTTTTGATTTTTGGGAATTGATGTACAAAAAAAATTGATTTTTGAAAATTTGAATCTCACCGCCACCAATTTTTATTATGCAAGCACTCCTTTTAACCTCAAAATGTATTTTCCGTACATTTTGGTAAATTACACAAAATTTTGTTAGACAACCCAAAATTTTTTTGTGTACATCAATTCTACAATACTTATACTAAATTGTCCTACGAAAATTTTTGAAATTTAATTATTATTTTGTTTTGTATTAATTTTAAAAAACTGAATCGTGTGAAGTGTCTGCTATTATGTTGTGTTTCTCAAGATGGATTCTGTGCCTCCTGAATTTTAGGTAATTCGCTTTATAAATTTATTTATAATTAATAAATAAATAAATAAATAGTTTGTCTAATTTATTAACAAATATTAGGCTCGGTCTACATTACATAAGCAGTGCACTTCACGCTTTCTGTTTGATTTAATTTGTATGTAGACTTCACCTAATAGAATAAAATTTTGAGGGTTTTTTAAAAAAAAAATTGGACAAACTATGTAGATATTTATGTTTGTGTATTTGTATAATTATTATTTTTTAAGTTTTGCTTACTAATATTTTGTATGCTTATTTATTTATTTTGTACTGTTTTGTTTGCATGTAGACACTTGAACAATTTAAACGGATTGTATTTATTTATTGTAATTATTTTATAAAAATTTATTTATATTATTTTAAACATTTAAACACACATATACATTTGAAAAATAATAATTTATGAATAATATATTTTTAGGCACGTGATAGAAAGTATCTTATGGAAACCAAAATTTTATGTGCTCATAATATTAAATGGATTATAGAGTATATTCACAATTTACTTAAAAAATGTAGAGAAGTCTTAAAAATGTAGAGAAGATTTTTTTCTAAATTAAATTATGCAGGAATTATTTTTATAAAATGCACAAATAGATATAGAAGTTATTACAATATATAAAAAATATTTACAAAGAAAATTTACTAAATTTTTAGACAGCAAAATTAGACTCAGCAATAAATTATAGAACCAGTACCAGAAAATGTTAAATTTTTTCAAAATCTATTCAGAATTCATTTTTTGCTAAGTAATTTAAAAAAAACTCATATTTTCTTTATCTAATAAAATAACATCTTTTTTATTTTGATGATAAATTAATTTTAAAAAATCTAACTAAATTTTATGAAAAATTAAAATATGCAAATTGTTAACCAATTTACTCTACGTTTAATTAATTAATAGTACTAGAAAATGTTCAAATAATTTTTGCTATTTTTTCAAAGAATTTATTTTTTTCTAATTATTTCTAAGTAATTTTATGAAAAATTCAAATATGCAAATTTGTAACTAATTTACTCTACATTTAATTACTATCAAATTTGAAATTTTATTTCAAAGAATTTATTGCACTAAAATTAAAAAAACAATAATTTCTATATACTAAATTACAGAGATTAATGTTTATTCAGAGTTATATCGTAATTTAATTAAATTTTACAACTTATTGACAAAACTTGTGAAAAACAAGTAATTTTATAAAACACTCATATTTTGCTTATATAATAAAATAACTCTACATTTAATTAATATATAATTTGAAAACAATTTCTTTATACTAAATTATAGAGATATACTTTTCATTCAGAGTTATATCGAAATTTAATTAGTTTTTACAATTTTTTGACGCTATTTGTGAAAAAACAAATAAAAAATCAGATATTTAAATTTATCACAATACTCGATGGCAGTGAATTATGGAATCAAAATTATATTCTATATTTTTCTAAAAACAACAAATAATGCAATATTTTTTAAACTTCTATTTAATTATGATTTTTTTTTAAATTAATTTGTTAAAATTATTTACTAATCATATAAAGACAAGAGACTAATTAATCATAATTTTCAAAAGATGATAAAATTACCACACAAATATTTGTAAGAAGACAAATTAATCACAATTTACAAAAACGATAAAATAGATATTTTTTCGAAAATTATGTAATAAATTATATTCTAGATATTTCTAAAATCTACAAATTATGTAATATTTTTTGAACTTCTATTTAATTATGAATTTTTTTATAGAATTAATTTGTTAAAATTATTTACTAATTTCACAGAATAATGCAATTTACTACACAAATAATTTATAGAAGACAAATTAATCACAATTTACAAAAGATGATAAAATTACCAAACAAAAATCATAGAAGACAAATTAATAAATATTTTTTCGAAAATTATTACTAACGTTTGATAAATCATTATAACTTAATTTACTAAAACTTGCTTAATTTATTTAAGTATCTATTATTAATTTTTAATTTCTTTTACGTTCTCTTCAAAATGTAAAATTTTTGGGTTGAAAAAATCTATATTATGGTTTAAATTAATAATATGTTCGGTTAGCATCGTCTTGAATTGTTTAGGATTTTTTGAGTTATTTTAATGTTGATAAAGACGTTTATACTCAGGTTTTGCTAGTTTCTAAAGCTTTATAGGTCGTTATCTAAAGTTTGAGCTTTTGTCCGAGATATAACAGATTATAAAAAAGTTCAATAGATAATTAATCTGATATACCAAGTTCCTGAGGCGGTCAGGATTAAACTTAGATTTAATTTGTGTAAAAATTGAACTAAGGGTTTCCACAAAATAATGCAATTTACCACACAAATAATTTATAGAAGAAAAATTAATCACAATTTACAAAAGATGATAAAATTACCATACAAATAAATCATAGAAGACAAATTAATAGATATTTTTTCGAAAAGTATTACTAACGTTTAATAAATAATTATAATGTAATCCGACTTGTAAACAATTTTAGTACAACGACTAGTACTACTTTTACCAAAACAAAAACCCCTTTTAATATCGAACGACTTAGAAATCTCGTTTATCAAATTAATTGTCTAGATTGTAATTTAATTTACATAGGAGAAACAAGCCAGAATTTAATGAAACGTTTACAACAACATAAAAACAATTAAAAAAATCCGAGACAATTTAAAACTATGATTGCGGAGCATATTTATACTTTAAAACACAATATGGACTTTTCTAACCCGACTGTACTACAATTCGAACAGAATTTATTCAAACTAACGTTAGTAATACTAGTTAGTATTACTAACGTTTAATAAACAATTATAACTCAATTTACTAAAACGTGCTTAATTTATCACAATTTTATTTAAGTATTTATTATTAATTTATTTATAATTGCTAACAAACCTCATTTAAACGGTGGTTTTCTTATACAAAATCATTTCTGCTTTTTCATTTCCCTGTTTCTGAATTTATTTTAAACATCTAAACTTATAACACACATCTGCATTATTAGATATTTATTTAACAAAAAATTAGGTTGTCAAATATCTCCCTTCCGCTTTTTTGCTCTTGGTTTATAATACAAAAAGGCGGAAGGGAGATATTTGACAACCTATTATATTTCACCATCATACAAAAAAATCTTCTAAATCTCTCATACCCCAACTAATATATGAATCTATCTTTTATTTTTTGCCCAGGGATGGACTCGGTAGTGCGTTCCGAGGGCCCCTCGTTGAGCAGTTCGGCGATCGTCGGAATCGCCGTCGGAGCAGTCGTGCTTCTTTTGCTCTTGGTTGACCTCAGTTGCTACTGCGTTGCCAGGGCCGGACTTTTGGCGGCCGCCTGCCACGCCAGAACAAAACCGACGGACGACGAGGAGGCGGCCAAATTGGGAAGGTGAGTAGGAGGAGGATCGATATAAAAATTTTTGGGGTGGTTGTATAATAAATCCTCATTGGTAAAAGACCTGAAAATTTTTAGTTTATATATATATATATATAATATATATATATATATTGAAGTATTTTGCATTCCAATCGTCGAATAAAAAAAATTATATCCATTCTCTGTTCTCATTTCTCTTTTGTTTCTTACACCCCGCATCCACTCACTCTACCTCACGTGCCGCTTAACCTTGAATTTATTTGTATTTCTATGCACAGCGAGCGAACACGCAATATAAGATAGCAATATGTGCTTCTATAATATCTCTTTTTATTAATTATTATAAGGTATGATGTTCTTTTGCACAAGTTTAGTGTTTAATGAATTTTATTGTGGGAGTAGTAATTAATATGAAAGTATAAACTCAACTTGTATAAAAATATATAAAATTTATTGACTATAAAAATTAATGCTATGAAAATATGACAAGTTCAATTGTTTTTTTCTCTCATGACCAGCCTGCTTGATTCCCACATTATATTTAATTTAAGAAATTTTATATACTGAATGATGGCACACATTGAGTATCGAAACGTTTAATGGAATAAAAAAAATCTATTTTAATCTTTTTTATTCGACGATTGGACTGCATAATACTTCAAATATGTATCAACGTCGACAAAATTATCATATATATATATATATATATATATATATATATATATATATATATATGATTTTGAAGCATTTTTTAATTTTATTATTAAAATTTTATATAAAATATTATAATTTGCTATGAGGATTTGTTAACCACCAATAATTTAGCTTCAACACAAAAATAACATAACATTGACCTTAATCTCATTGTATATATATTATTTAATTTAATTCTTTCACTATCATACATGCTTTTGTATTGTATTTATGACATAAAAATGCTCATCTCATTTACTAATATAAACATACTAATATGAATCATAAATAATTTACTAATAATCTAATAAATGAACTAATTTTGCGAAATCAAGTAAACCATTTTATAAAATTCAAGTATAAAAGTAAATGTATATTAACTAAATGAAAAAGAACTTTTAAAACTTTAAGAAAAATCGAGTAAAATTTAGAATAAACCTTGATTGTAACTGGCAAATAACAAAATAATAATAACAAAAATATTAATTTTAAGGTAAAATAATTGATTTCTTTAGCACGAATAGTAAAATTTAATTAGAGTGAAATTCAAGCTCAATTTTAAAAATAATGTTTATTATCGGTTTAAAGATTTAAACAATCGTTAAGAGCGTACTAATAAAAAAAAATTAAATAACTAAATTAATTAAAACAATTAATTTAATAGCACCAAAATTTAACCACCAAAAATAGCAGAAAATCAAAAAATTTTGGTCAGGGTCTGAAATTTAAGTTAAACTAGGGTAACTAAATGTTTGGCATTATTTAAAATTAAAATATACGTTTTAATATTAAAAGTGTATTTAGTTAACTAACAGTGATAAAATCAGTTTTAAAAAAAATATTAAAAGTCTCAATTTGATAATCAGCCAATAATATTTAGGGTGAAGACTTATTAAAATCTGATGTAGACAAAAATATTTAAGAGCAAAACGGTTAATTAGTGGCATTAACATTATTATACATAAAAATCATCGATAATTAATTTTTTAACAGTTAATTACAAGAAATTGTGCGTTTTTGAGCAAATGTCGATGAAGGGTCTAATTTTGACAAACGCCAAAAAAAACGAAACTAATTTTTGCAAACTTTGACGAATTTTCAAAATTAAACGACTTGTCATAGGGCCGTAATATTTTAGTATGATCTATAAGACTATGGTATCTACCGTCGAGAAAAAAAATTTACACTTTATTACAAGAAAACGGCCCGGCCGATCTTTACCAAAAATTAATCAGCATGATTCCCAACCAATATCTATCGAACGATTTTTGAATTTTCAAAATCGATTCAGAATTGCGGGCTAAAACGTGGACGACCAATTTTCCATTTTTATGCTATTTACGAAGAAACGGTTCGGCTGATCGTCGCGCAAAACTGAAAAACAATAGTCC